CTTTTTCCGATTTCCGCATCTGAGGCTTGCAAACAATATGAAGAATTAGACTAAAATTATGAATCTTTTATATTTCTTACAGCTTTCTGACATGAAAAAATGTCGAACACACATTAAATGGCAAACGCTGACTCGCACGCGCGACAGACACTATCTCGACTCAAAGCTGTCAGTTCAATAACTGACACGCCGTTAACTGCTTCGTGGAGCCAGACACCTTTCCGACTAGCATTATGTGTCGTAAAAACATCTGAGTTTTAGTCGCTAAAACGACAAGTACGATTTACAGTTTATGGTACGAGGACTGACGACTAAGTGCATCCGCTATACTGTCACTAAAACATATAGGATATTCAAAATTCGAACTGAAATTCATTAGAGTACAAAATGCTTGTTTGTGTGTGTCTGATGCTACCAAAATAAGGAAAAATGGCTGTCAGATATTCCATGGATAAGCCAAGAACTTCATAGTTTACAGCTGGACTCAACAGACTTTGAAATGGTCTTCTTTGACATCGTTTCATTATTCACAAAAGTCCCACTAAATCGTACTATTCAGTTGATAGTAAATAAAAAATATACTAAACCACACACATGTTCAGGTAAAAGTCAAAAATTATGCGACGATTGTCATCATAGAAAGTGCTTTGTCCTAGATCCTTGCCGCACTCATATTTGCCTTTTTATTCTCATTCTCACTTCGAGTTTTGTCAACAATTTAATATATCCCGATAAGACGAGATCCTTGCAAAAGGTTTTTATACGCGTAAAGGTAGAATAGAAAACGTCTTTCCAACGGTATTCTAGAGTTTAAACAGCTTTTTAATGTTTGCTCAATGTCTTCGCACACACAAGACACGCCTTTTAGTTGATGCAAACGCATTCTGATGTGAATTTTCTCGGGTTCATGCGTCAAAGTTCTTTCGGAGCATGCCACTGAAGAAGTTGATAATCCTCGGAAAAAATCATTGGTTCTCGAAATCGTTTTTTCTCACTGTTCATGCTGGCATATGGAACGCGATAAACTTAAACGAAATGTTCTGTAAGATTCTTCACTTTCTATCCCTGTCAGATACTGTGCTAATACGTTGTTTTGGTCAAACTGTTATCACTCGACTCTTTTCTTTGTCTCACACAAACACGTTTGTCTTCTCTCTGTTGTAGGTGACATTATCAATAAAGCAAAAAAAATGTGGCTTCTTGTTGTTCTTCTTTCTATCTTCATTGTTGCAGTGGCCTTTCTTCTCTTCTATCTCCTTCGTCCTATATATCGTCCGTTGTTTCTTCGCGACCTTTACGATTCACATGTTGTCGTCACGGGTGGCTCGAGTGGCATTGGCAAAGAATTGGCTCGTCAACTACTCCACGAGCATGGGGCTCGTGTGACCATTTTAGCTCGCAATCAACAACGTCTCGATGAATGCCGTCAAGATTTAACGCCCAACGACAGTGATCGACTATTGTGTCTGTCTGTCGATGTGGGTGGCTCGTACGCTGATGTACAAAATGCGATTGAACAAGCATGTCATCATCATGGCAACCGACCCGTGAACATTTTGATCAATAATGCTGGCGTTTTCTATGCCAAAACAATCGATGAAACAACACCTGATGAATTCGAACAGATGGGTAAGAGATTCTTGATTTTTTGTGTAGTGCGAAAAGTGAATGAGTGCGCTTTCTCTAGTTCGGATCAATTATTTGGGCGCTGTCTATTGTACAAAAGCGTGTCTACCATCGATGCGCCATCTTGGATCGGGCCGTATAGTGCTCGTGTCATCGCAAGCCGGTCAACTAGGTGTATTCGGGTATACATCCTATTGTGCAACGAAATTTGCTCTCAAAGGCTTAGCCGAATCACTTCAAATGGAATTAGCTCGTGATAACATTTATGTCACTGTTGCGTATCCACCCGATACAGATACGCCTGGTTTGATCGAAGAGAATAAGACAAAACCGCGAGAAACACAATTGATCAATGAAACATCAGGTGTTTTGTCAGCCGATGAAGTTGCCAAAAAAATTATTGTCTCAGCACGGCAAGGTTCATTTGCCTGCTGGTACGGCATCAATGGATTTTTGTTGGCTTGTTTGACGAGTGGCGCCCAACCGGTGACAAGTGTGCTCGAACTTACGTGTCAATGCTTGCTCGCCGGTTTGACACGTCTCATTATTGTCAGACTATTGAATTCATTCTATGCAATTGCGAGACGACGAACTATGTAGTACGAAGACATAGAGATGCTAGTATGTGTTCGCACAGTCCATTTTTGTGCTCGTTCTTTTTCACACGCATAACGTGTAATAGATAGAGAATAAGAAAAGAGTCGAGTTTGTCGTTCATCAATATCTCCACCACGACCGAAAGGTAATTGCTTCCACTCTATATTTCTGCGTCAAAATTTTGTTTTTTGTTTGCCTAGAAAGGAAATCACACATCAACAAGGCAAGAGAAGGGCGTATTTTGTTGAGACCGCTCAAATCTTTCGGGAAACTCTTTTTCGTCTCAGGCGAAGTTTTGCTTTTTATACAGATTGATTTTCTTTTCTCGCGGATGCATGACGTAGTAAACTGTGTATATTCACCCGGTTAAACTAACAAAAATAAGCACCTAAAATTAATGTGATTAGCAACTTAAGAGGCCTTCTATGAGTGAATCGAGTACCCGTAAAGAGGTCTGTCTATCACGAAAAGTAAATTTTGCAAAAAACTATATTATCCGGTTTATCATGAAAAACTGGAGTGACGAATTCTTTTAACACGTATGGGCCCTTCTTCTTGGGTCAAAATCAAGTTTTTCCAACAGCTGGGCCCAAAACACAGAAAAATTGGTCAATTTCAGCTTTTTATATATAAAACTGTCAATTTCATTTAATTTCTTTGAGTGACATTTCATTTAAAAGAGCATAGCAAGCTGAACATATTGAAAAAATTGATATTTGAAAAAAATTGAAGCTAAAATAAGAATTAGAAAAAAGGATTTTACTGGAATTTTGAGGTTTTGAAAAACCTGAATAGTCAAGCAATCAAACGTCGGGATCTAATGGAAACTTGATATGTTATAAAGTAAACAATTTTGCACCTGATGCATTTTTTAAAAATAATAAAATCGACACAAATCTCGATTAAAATGGTCTCACAATATCCAAAGCTGACAAGAACCAAAAAACAAAAAATACTTTACATAATTTTTTCGCCGGCAAACCACTTCCAGTCGAATCCTCATTAAAAATTAACTATATAAAAATTTTTTCCGCCTTTATTGCGTTTTTTTCCATGAGAAAAATCCAGTTTTCCAAAAACGTTGCGAAAAAAGTTAAAATATCACCGTTTTCTAGTTTTTCGCCTACGAAACCGAGAATTTTCTTTCAAATATTTTGATCAACATGTCGTTCGAAAGAGCAAAACAAACTGAACAATATCTAATACCTAAGAGAAATTTAGGTTCAGAATAATAGTCAGAATAGTTGATTTTTGCAAAGTATTATTGTTATTGAAAATTGTTAAGGTGCGCGTAATGAAAAAGTTGAACAAAATGTTTTTTGAACTTATTATACATTGTTCGATAGAGCTCATTGAGCTGATTAACAGTACATATTTTTTAAATGTGAGATCCAACTCCCACTCTCTTTCTTATTTGAAGCAAATGAACGACTATATATAGTACAAACTTGAGCAAGAGTTTTACAAGAGTTGCGAAGAAGTTGCGCAATAACAGAAAGAGTTAGGAACATCTCATGATGAAGCAAGAGTTGCGCAATAACAGAATTGCGCAAGGATGGTACAAGAGTAGGATCTTATGAGTTGCCGAAGATGGCAGGTCATACATTAAAGTTTCAAAAAATTGTTTTCATGTCGAAAAATCGCAAAAACTGAATACAGCTCAAAAGCTCGAAAATCGCTCAAATTCGTTCTTCGAGAATTTTCGCGCTACGCAGTAGTATATAAGTTTCAAACTATTCTTTTCTTATTCCGCATCAAAAACTGAATAAGAAAACATAGTTTGATAAAGTTAAAAGTTAAAGGGCTGTCCAACACGGACTTCTCAAACTAGACTCACAAATGGCGGAACCGAATTACCTAAACTTATCTAGTTTTTAGTATCCAGGGCACAGATATGGGCGAGTCACCAATTTTTCGAGTCATCGCGAGTCACTTCGAGTCATTTTCCACCGGAAAATTTCCTCCTGATTCGTTTTTCCAAGAAAAGTTCTTTAGTCCTCTCATGTGAAGCGATGTTCTAGTTAGAATATTCTCAAATCTCTCTCTTCTGATACATAACAAACATAATAAACACCGTCATAGCAAACCCAAGTTGCACAAGGCTGACTCGTAAGTGACTCGAGTCAGTTTATCAAGTTTGTCGAGTCTTTCAGCTCGAGTCCGAGTCAAACTGAAATGCGACTCGAGTTGACTCGAACTCATCCATGTCTGCAAAGACTACAGCCCTCGTTTGTATATCATTAGATTCGCTGAAACCTCAGCTTTAAAAGTACAACTCGCATCTTTTAAAATTTTCTTTCTGTGCTGAGAAAATTCATTTTCTCTAAATGAGGGGCGAAAAAGCCGTAATTCTGCCCGTAATTCTCATTTTTCTCGATCAGAACTCAACTTTTGAGCAATAAAAACATCATATTCGGAATCCGGATAAAACATTGAGTCGACTGATCTGTAATTCGAAATTTTAGTTGATTTTAAGTTTTTGTTGAAACGATAGTTTAATATCCTCCAGCAAAAACATGAAAATACACTTTTGCAAGATTCAAATAGCAGGTCATATACTTCAGCAAACGCTGTATCTTTTTGCCATATTCTAAGTGTCACAGTTAGTAAGACAACGTATTTCCAAAATTTAGCTCGAGAATCTTGGTGTTATAAAAAACGATCTTGTCGTACACAAGGCAGAAGACATTGAGTTATGAAACTAGAACTTTCACACTATCGATTCACAAAAAAAATAGTTTTCTTAACCTTTCCTGTATGAAAAAATGGTTTTTCTTTCTCCGCTAAGTGTTTTCCAAAGTGCGATCCTCAGTATAGTGAGTTTCCAAAACTTTTCGAAAGCCCTAACTCGCTGAGATTTTCACAGGATGTTGATCTATATATATGTACTGCACCGATACTGTTAGCGCGGACAACACTGGGCGGATTTGTCCATTTCGAAAAACACCTCGGTTTGCGCAATGACGTTAAACTACCCGTCCTCAAAGACCTTGATGCACGATTGTTGATGGTTCCTATTTACACATACACACACTCAATGTGACAGTCAGTTCCGACTACTAACTCAGGCGAAGTGGTTTGATTTTAGCCTTTTTGGCTAACTTACTAATGAATTCTCTGAAAGAGAGAAAAATGGACAGATCTTTTTTGATTGACTTTCGTATTTTAGTCTGAAAGGATGGGCGACGATAAGAGGCAAAATCGGTCCTCGTTCAAATCAGACTTGCGTTAATTCATCTGATGCAGTTTTTATCCACGACTAACGCTAACATACTTTTAAATCTTAAAAAGCGACCCTGGAAACCTTTTAGCAATAAAAGCTCTTCTCGCGTTAGACCACGTTTACTCAAAGTATTTATATTATTCTACCTGTTTCACGTAGAGCAAATATCAACTGTTATACAGCGTTCGATAGAGAATTTTACGAGCTACAAAATGATATAAGACCTAGCCTTAAGAAAATGTAACGGGATACTCTAAGATCCGCAATACTCGGTAGCATTCTCAGAACCGGTAGATCAACGTCGTTCATATTTATAACGGTGACTAATGTTCTGGTTAATCACTCCACTTTACACATCATTTGATAGAGACTTTCACGGGCTTCAAAATGATATATAAGATAGTCTTAGAAAGATGTAACTGGGTAGGCTAACACCCGAAATACAACGTAATTTCCCCGCAAACCGGTAGGTCAACGTCGTTCCTGTTAATAGTATCTATTGCTTTTGCCGTTAACCACTCTACTTTATATATTATTCGATAGAGAATTTCACGGGCTTTAAAACCAACTATGAATACGTTTCTCAGAAATATGCCCAGATTGGTCAATTTAAATACTTGGCCGATATAATGATTTTCATCTATCATAGTGGTTTGAACACTGTGTTAGTTGTTTTCCTGCCATAAGGAAAAGTATGAATGTATGAATGACACCCCACTTAATATACGAAATATAAGACTTATCCCAAAATTACAAGAATATACTAATACATTTGTAACTGCTAATGCTTCTTCACGTACACAATCTAGAAACGATTCTGCTGCTAATAAAAACAATAATGAACCTGAAACTAATTGCCAACCACCCGTAAATACTAGCACGAATACTATTGCTAATACTGGACTAACTTTGCTTAGAAATACACTATAATTTAATGTCAATAATAGCGTACTTGTTGACATAATACACAATGATAATAACAATAAACAACGTGAACACAAGTGTGCACGCGCTCCCTTGCCTGTAAAGTCTTCGTCGTTACTGTAGCGAGTTAAGATAAGACACAGTACAATTGTCTTCGATTCTACTCTAAACTATAAAATTTCTCTTCAGAGTAAGTTGTAAGACAATTCTGCGACAGCTTAGTGTTTTGGGCTGTTATTTGGCAGTAGTTTAGGGCGGCAAAAAAAACTTCACTCCGTGTGAATCATCTATAAGAGACGTCCTTAGCTTTAAAGCCTTTTTTGGTTCCCTATTTTCACTGATGGACACACTCTCAGGCGCTCATCAATCACGACGAACACATCGAAGTTAAGTGCACAAAAGTATATTGGATCCCCTGTTGCCACTGCCATTTCTTGTAACTCGATCAATGTCATTAGTATCTCCACACGCAAATGCTGTATAGAACTGAAGTCTGCGTCAGCCAAATCATATCAGTGTATGTACGTCCGTCACACTGCCACATGACTATATGTATGTACGTCCGTCACACTCATTAGCCACTATATGTATGTACGTCCGTCACACTGCCACATGACTATATGTATGTACGTCCGTCACCCTCATGGGTCACTATATGTATGTACGTCCGTCACACTGCCACATGACTATATGTATGTACGTCCGTCACACTCATTAGTCACTACATGTATGTACATCCGTCACTTACTGTTTTTGCACGCAAAGTGCGGAGCCACAAACGTACATGCATTTAACGTTTTTCCTCTCGCGTGCAAAATGTGGAGTCACAAACGTACATGCAATTAATTTCGTATAACCCTAGACTTTACAGTCAAGGGAATAATGATCTTCTACGCCATTTATCCACTAAAAAATATGGAAATATATTATTTATCAAATTCCATATGCCCACTGTAGCGAATGTGTACAACAATGCGTTATTCAAGTTTACTTGTTTAAACATCAATGGTGAATAAGTAAAACATGCACCAATGCCTGTTAAAATATCAGTACTACATAATATGATTGCAATGAACAAATATCTAAAACCTTGTTCAGTTGTGAAAAATATATTCCATCCATGTCGATGCTCTGCAGGCGATGTTGTTGGTGTCAATGACGACGGTGTGGAAATATTGTTGCCAATTATGCTCACAATGCTGAATAACTTGGTAATTTTTCGTTGGTATATTTTACTTTTTATTTGCTCGGTCTTCTATCGGGTTTAATCAAGCATATCTAACTAGTGCTATTACAATTATTAGTACCTTTAAAATAGATAATCTTCTTGTATGTTTGTTTTCCCTACGCTCTACCTACATACTTATCACTGTATACAGTGACAGGACCATGATGAAAAACCATATATATTTTTCTTTCCGTGTACAACAAGAAAACAAAATATTAGCATTGAGACAAATATTTTTAACAAAACGCATAACGCACTAGAAAGGACGGGTGCCCTTAACGATTTTTTCCGCCCTAAAATGAATCGACATTTCATTTAGGAATTCGAATTCAGTATCGAATTCTTAAATCGCTTAAGTTCGGAAGGAAAATGTTTTCAAAAATTTCTGAGGACAACCCGCTCCCTATAGGTGATTCGTGAAAATCTTTTTTTTCGAGTTTCATTGCATTCCAGGATTCCAGTATTCCAACAATTTTTTTACTAACGTGTAGACCGTTCTGTCTTCGACATAACCGCTTCCGAATAAAAAATTTCACCGGTGATTTTCCCTGAAAATTTTCAAAAATCCCCCGATACCAAAGAAAAAAGGGCCTTTTTTGTCACAGCGTTACGCTCTGAAAATTTGCTATAAAACTGCTAAACTCAAACTAAATTTTCTTCTTTTTTACTGGAGATAGAGGACGTTGAGTTGCGTCGAATGGCGCTTGAACGAACTCACTAGATTTAATAGTTTTTCAGATAAGAGCGATTTAGTGTGTCAAAAATATCACAGCGTCACGCTTGGACAGGCCGTATAGTTTTCAAAGTGTTCGGAAAAAATACCTAGGTCTAAAAATTAAATTTTAATTTCAAAAAATTTTTAAATTTAAATGTCTACCACAAAATTTAACTTTCACTCGTGTCTGAGTCCATATTTACAATCGACGCGAAAAACTATATCTAATGATCTAGTTTTAAGCTTTTCCGGAGTGAAAACAAAAACTCGAACCTTCTGACCCGAAGGACGACAGTTAGCTGGCTACTCTCATAGGTAGATTTTCGGATAACTCAAATAGAAGTTTTCAGAAAACTCTATACAAATGTGTAATCTGGCATGCAACTGTGAACTGTTAATAAAATTTACGATACTGAATCGCAATAAGAGCGGTTTCGGTGTGCTAATGTTGAACCTCCATTCTGGTAACTTTTTACAAAAAATTTTAAGTGGAGAATGTGATATTCTGGAAGAGCATCCTTGGCTGTATTCACAGTATAAATATTTTTTTTGTTAGAGTTTCTAGGTACCACTTCTACCAGGATCACTTTGAGATGCTGTCATCGCTAAGGCCATACTGCTTCAGGTATACTGAAGTTATGTCTGATCAAATTAATTGTTTTAAAATCGGATAGAACATGTGGAATTACATATAACTGGACTATTTCAGGGCAAATCCGACATTACCCGACTGAACCAGGAAACCCAACATCAAAAGATAGCAGGTTTTGGCCAAATTTTAACTTTAGTAGATTTCGTCACCATCCCAGATTAGATCACCATCCCTAAATCTATAGAAATGGATAGAATTTCAGTTTAAACTCGAAAAAAAAGATTTTCACGAATCACCTATAGGGAGCGGGTTGTCCTCAGAAATTTTTGAAAACATTTTCCTTCCGAACTTAAGCGATTTAAGAATTCGATACTGAATTCGAATTCCTAAATGAAATGTCGATTCATTTTAGGGCGGAAAAAATCGTTAAGGGCACCCGTCCTTTCTAGTGCGTTATGCGTTTTGTTAAAAATATTTGTCTCAATGCTAATATTTTGTTTTCTTGTTGTACACGGAAAGAAAAATATATATGGTTTTTCATCATGGTCCTGTCACTGTATACAGTGATAAGTATGTAGGTAGAGCGTAGGGAAAACAAACATACAAGAAGATTATCTATTTTAAAGGTACTAATAATTGTAATAGCACTAGTTAGATATGCTTGATTAAACCCGATAGAAGACCGAGCAAATAAAACGTAAAATATTCTTTCTACACTTACTTATACAGTAGTAGTCGTAAGAAGAAAAACAAGAAGAAGAAGAAAAATGACACTACTGACACAGTTAATTATCAGCAGTAGTATTTTATTGTTGATTCAAAGTTCAAGTGAAAATCAAACTGAGCCAGCAGCATCACACTTACAACGGTAAATGCTACTACTACTTTTATGTTGTGTGCTTACTCTCTATTATTTTTCTTTCTTTGGAGAATCACACTGTATCGTCATCACGTTAAATACCCAGTTTATGGTTCTCATCAAAGGTATCATCGAAAGAATCGGACGACGGTAACAACACTAATTTCGAGACAAAAGAGAGATGCCACTGTAAATCTAGGAAATCGTTTTGTAAGTGTTAATAAAAATTTCTGTCGCATTCGGTAGAAAAGAACGTGTTATTGTGTTTCCTTGTGCATTCAAGTACTATTACTATAATGTTATTTCAATTGGTACACCACCACAAAAATTTATCGTTCAGTTGGATACCGGCTCATCTTATATGTACGTGCCATCAGTCGAATGTGGAAAAAAATCAAATGTCTGTAGTAGTAAGCAGCTTAAAAGTGTTTTTGCGAGGAAAAAATCTCTTCATTTCTTCTTCTTTACTTTACGCCTGCATATAGCTGGTAATCGTAAATATAACAGTGGAAAATCAAGTACATTTAAAAAACTAGGAAATGGTCATAAAGCGTTTGATATAACATATGAAGATGGTACGGGTGCCAGTGGAGTTTTTGTAAAGGATACTGTTACGGTACGTGCTAAGAGAAGTGCTAACTGCGAAAGGAATATTTGTGGGTGATTTTAGATCGGTGGCATAAAAGTTTTACATCAAACATTTGGTTCAGCTAATAAAGTTGATCAAGATCGATCAAATGTTTACGATGGTATCTTAGGTTTAACAATACCAATAACATCGGATGATAAATCAAAATCAGTATTATACAATTTATATCAACAGAAAAAAATTAAACAGCCAATATTTTCATTTTATTTAGCTGCGTAAGTATTTGCATTACACGGTGTAATAGTTTTTTCGTCAAATCGAGTTTTGAGGAGAAATTGTAGAATACTTTTTGTTTCCTTCACTATACTTGCCAAAGAGATCCAAGTGCAACAATTGGTGGTGAATTTATTATTGGCGGTATTGATAAATCAAAATATATTGGTAGAATAACATATTTTCGCGCATCTGTTAAAGATATGTATCAAGCAACATTCACGAGGTATGTACAATGCGTTTAAATATAAATCTTACTATCTCACAGTACTTATATTTAGCATCACAGTTAATAATCACCAGATTTCAGATTCCAATCAGCAATTTTATCTTGATACTGGTACAGCATTTATTATAGGACCACCGAAACAAATTCGTAAATTACACCAACAAATTGGTTTAACATATAATGATAAACTCGACGCTGTGAGTTAGACAGACGAATGTTTTAAAAAATTTTATCGAAAATTATTTTTTCATTCTTTTAGTATGTTGTTAATTGTGACGATAAATTAAAGTTACCATCTGTTGTATTTACAATTGCAAATCAACCGTTTCCTTTAACACCTGAACAATATATTTATACAAATACTGATGATAACGAGAATCCTTATTGTGCTACCACATTTGAGAGTGGTAGAAGTTATGGAGCAAATGGACAGAATTTATTGTGAAATTATTCATAAATAATGAAGATGATGATGATCGTGATCGAGAGGAAGCAGCATAAAAATGTGTGAATGTAACACTTAAATTGTGAATAAATTGTGTGGATATTAGGTGATGTTTTCTTACGACGTTATTATTCAATTTATAATATGAAAACAAGTCAAATGGGTTTAGCAAAATCAATTGCTTACGATGATTAGGATTGGTTGATTTGACTTCGAGTATATTTTTTAAGGGTATCCCTTCTCTTAATTGATCGAAAAGTCGAGTTTTCAGAACTTTTTCAGTTATACTGTGAATTTTCTTAATTCAGGAGCCATTAGAGATAAGTCACGACCGATTACCGTGTAATGCTGCGCAATCTACCATCTCAGATTTCTTTTACCATAGTGGGCTTCTCTAGAGCAAACGTTTTCATGAATTTTGGCGAAAATTGCAGGTCCTAAAGTTGTTGCGTTGCTGAGATATTCAATTTTTGCAAAGAGCCCGAAAACGCACTGAACTGAACTGAACTGAATTTTTTGCAAATATGTTACAATGAAAAAATTCCGGCATCTAACAAGACTGTCAATGTAAATTACGTACAACTCTGTAACAACAAAGTACTTAGACTTAAGAATTCTATCATAACTGCTAGATAGTATCTATTACAAATTTACACCACCACGAGCTTCAGACATGCTTCCGTTCTTTTACAGTAGATGATCCCGTGAGAGCGCAAATTATCGATCCGGTCATTTTGGCAAACGGTTTTGTCTCAGAAAACCGGGCGAATTTCTCGCTCACCACGATATTGTTGGTATACACCAGGTGTACTATCATGAGCCATGGGATTTTTGGAATCTTTTAAAATCCCGTGAAAAACGAAGTGAGGTTTCTGAAAAACCATACCATGAAATTTTCAATCGAATTTGGGATTTTCACATCAGCCATTTTATATCAAGTTACACACGCCAAGCTATTTTTAACTATTCGATTAGTTTTAACTAAGTTTTAAATTTTTCAAACACTAGTGTATTACCATGCAGATATATATGTATGTTTTTAAGCAATACTAGAAATAAAAGCTTCTGATTTCATCAAAACTAATCGAACAGTTATAAAAGTAGCTTAAAAAAATGTTATGTTTAATATGTTTTTTGTAGAGAATGAAACGACGAATCTTTTAAAAGACATTAAAAAACATGTTCAACATTTTATTTATATACAGCAGAAATAAAAGAATATAAGTGAAATACTGCGAAGCTTCAATTTCCGTTGCTCTGAAGCCTAAAACATAACGAAAAGATACTTATTTTAAACATGATACTATGCATAAAAGTGGAATCAAAACGTACGTTGCTTCCAAGTGTCGTCTTTCTTTTCATGTATTAAAGGTTGACACTGAACATATTTTTCTGATACAAAAGGCTATTTTACTACAGTAGTCTACCAAAGCAGAGGAACATTTCCACCTTTTCGCCTTGTCACTGGAAAGGAAATGGAGCTATCACACTTCCTCTATTGGGTGTAACAAAAGAGCTGTTTTGCTTTAAGATAAGACAAGCTAGGCCTCAAAATATTTGAATTGATCGATTTATAAAATCTTTCCCAAATGCACCAAAGCTGCAGTTTGCAAACGGCGATTTTTGATAGAATTGATATAAGCAAATGCTTCCCCACAACCAATTGCAATTATGAAGAGTTTTAAACATACCAAATTCATTGAGCTTTTCAAAGGCATCTTCACTTATTCTGTATCACAAAATACAAAGAACTAGAACTGAAAAACTGTTTTGGGAGTTTGAAAGTAATGGAAATTGAAGCTTCGCAATATTTCACCTGTATTCGTTTATTTCTACGGTATATAAATAAAACGTTGTATATGTTTTTTGAAAATTGAAATAGATAAACGGAAAATACTGAGACCGTCATTCTTTGTGACCCAACCGTTATATATCTGATATAACTGTGATCACATGATGGGGAGAGAGTATAAGATTCTAGCGTATTCTTTTTAGCCCTATCTGAAGAACTATCAAATGTCTTGAATGCCAATAATAACAATTATATGATGATATAGATGGTGAATTATGAGCATAAAGATGCCG